AGGGAGGTCAGGGTCTTATCAGCAGATTTTGGTAAGAACGAACAGTACATATTTCCTGGTAACACTGAACTTTCTCAGACAGTCATTTTAAAGGGGTTTGGGGGTTAATCATAGGGACCTAGCCTTAGGCTGCTAAAAACCATGCTAGAGTTTAGTAAGATCTCTTATTATAAAAGGGGTTTGGACAGAAGTGTTAGTTCTAAGAGTTCTGCAGATATCCCCTGTTAGAAACTATGAGGATGCCCATGGTTATATTTATATGAGGAGACATTATATAAATAATTGATGTTAACGACCTGCCAAAGATTACTTTCCTTACTCCCTCCATCCTAGGCCTTGTGCAATGCCCCCCCTCCACCGGCTTCCAGAGAAAGGGGAGCAATTCTGTGTGAAACCAGCTCTCCACACCTGGCCCCCACAGCTGATCATCTCAGGGCAGACCTGTCCTGACTCACAGGCAAGATCATCTTTCCCTGTGAGTACCCTGATCATCTCAGAGTGATCTCCTTTACCAGCTGGAATGATGAATACCTTCTCCCAGGACAGGAGTCCTCTTTATCTTGCAGAAGGAGGCAATCCAGCCTGGGCCCTTCCCCAGGACACCATTTGTCTGCAGCCTCTACAGGAAAATAAGCTTGTCTGAGCTGTTGCCTAAGCAGGGCAAATCTTAAGTAGTGAGATCAGCTTTAGAAACAATGGCTATTCTTGTGTCTTCCCTTTCTCTATCCTCTTACCCTTCTATATTACAAAATAAGTGAACAGTTAGAGGACAGAAACTTTATCCTGCCTAGCCAATGCCAAAGAAGGTGCTCTCAAGAGAAGAGCAGTTTAAGAGAGGCTGCTTGGACCTTAGGCCTCAGCTCCCAACTCCCTCCCTGACTGGCCCCTTAGAAAGGAAATCATCCTCACTGACTGAAGCCCTGAGTGGCAAGTAAGCAGGTGGTTTCCTGCAGGACACTGAGGTCTGCTTAAATAGACCACCCATAAGCTTCCATAAAGATATCTTGTGTATTGGATTCTACAAATAATATATTCTTGATGCATCTAAACCTCACTAATTTGTAAACACCTAGGGTTTACATTTGCCCGAAGCATTTTCTAAAGAAAACAAAGACTAGTGATTCTAACAAACCAGTAGTTGTTTGACTTCAGCTACCCAGGTGTTGACAAATAGTAGTCTTAAAAGCAGTTGTATGGCATGGAAATATCACTGCACTAGGATACAACTGGTTTGGGTCAGAGTTCCAACATCATCAAATAGTAGATATGTGACTAGAGTTTTCTATTAATTTCTTGAAAACAGCATTAGGTGGCCTAGAAAGAGATGTGAGTAACTTACCCGAGTTCACACAGCTACTAAGTGACAGAAACAGTACTGTCCAGATCTAGAGTTCTTAACCATTCCAAATATATTGTCCCATACTTATCAGGTACTTGTTTATTCCTATGGTGTCTAGAGCTAAAGTATTAATATTTAAGCATACACTATTTTGCAACTTTTTTTTGCAACTAGCTTCAAATCCTACCTGCAGAGAATTTCTAAAGATGTTGTTGAGCACTCACTGAAGGGGAAGACAAACTCTATTCAGCGAGCAATCTTACTGGCTGGAGATCCCCTCTAGGAAGGAAGGAGACTGCGAGGGTTTTGTCTGAACATGAAAGACACTTATGAGTTGGTCTAGATAATCAGTATTGGAGGATTTAGGGGCAGAAATCCTCGGAGCAAGCAGAATTGCCTTGAAATCCACATATGCCAGTCTATCTCAGCTTTTCCTTGGATTTTATGTTTATTTGTGGATGGCTTGTGTGTGTACACAGAAGCTGATGGAGAAAAAGGGCAGGAAAGTCTTTTCTAACCACTCATCTCTGAAAAGGGCACTCCTGGGACTCAGGAACTGAAAGTGATTATGTTCCCCATGTTATCTCCCTAGGAAGGATCCCAATCATAGGTTGAGGGGGACTTTGGATGGAATATATACAGGGTGATGAACTCATATCTAACCAATACGCATTCTAGCCATCCCCAGAATGCCAAAACTTCAAGACTTGGTGGATATTGATGACTCACAGAGTCTGCAAATGAACTCAGGCCTTCCTGTCTCCCAAATGAGTTCTCACAGATAAAGAAAGATATTTTGCCTGGTGTTCTAAAGGGTTAATAGTGACTTACATTGGAGTAATTTGTACAGCATTCCCTGTAAGTCTTGTTTACCAGAAACTCACTTCCACCCTTAAGTGTTTCTCTTAGGGGATGTTAATTCTAAATTGGTGCCTGAAAGGTAAGAGTACTCAAATCTCTCTTGGTCTTCAAAGGAATGGCTGTGGCCACAGAGAGATTATACCTTTACCCACACCATAGTCATGTGCCCTGAAAGTCTCACTCTTGTCACTTCTGGGAAACTGCATGTGGTCTCTGTGACACAGGGCTATTTTCCACTTCTGTTCTTGCACTCTGAGCAACCCTGGGCAAGTCAGAAGTTCTTTCAGATCATTGTTTTTTCAGGATTCCAAAAAAGTCACTTAACACTTCTGGAGCTCTGGAAATAATGATATTTGATGCTCTCTGAATGAAATAAGCAGAAAAGGCTGGAGGCTTAAAGAGGTTCAGCTGGAGAAGGCTCACAGGGAACAGTAGGGAGATTGGACAGAAATGCATATTTTATACCAAGACAGCTCCCATGGAGCCCCAATGGTGGAACAAGGAAGAGCCTGGAGAAAGTCCAGCTGCACTTGCATTCTCCTGAGTGCTATCATCTTGCCTTTCCACTCTGGCAATGCAGTCTTTCCTTTTATATCCTGAGAGTCAGAAAATTTGAGCGGGAATTCAGGGCAGGCCCAGAGTGGGGCTCCTTGGACTCCAAGCCCAGTTCTTATTGATTGGCTATATGCCCTTGGGCATATTAGTTACATCTCAATTTCCTGTAGTGCTAAGTAGTACTATTAAAATGCTTCTTTTAATGGTGGAAAGATTAGATCTAAGAACATGAAGAACCCAGTACAGTGCCTGGCTCAAAACAATTGGCAGCATTACATTGATCATAGTTGGTCCAGAAGCTACACCTTCCTCTTGGCAGATTCCTGCCTCTCCCTACTGGATCCCCCCAAAAGAGCTGATGTGTTTGTGGACCCAGAAATTGCAACAATCCGGTCGGGTGCGGTGGCTCACACCTATAATCCTAGCACTTTGGGAGACCAAGGCGGGTGGATCACTTGAGGTCAGGAGTTCGAAACCAGCCTGTCCAACATGGCGAAACCCCGTCTCTACTAAAAACACAAAATTAGCCGGCCATGGTGGTGCGTGCCTGTAATCCCAGCTACTAGGGAGGCTGAGGCAGGAGAATCACTTGAACCTGGGAGGTAGAGGTTGTAGTGAGCCAAGATCATGCCACTGCACTCCAGCCTGGGCAACAAGAGCAAAACTCCATCTCAAAAAAAG